GAACCCGGGAGCCAGGAGGGAACACACAGGAAAGGCAGGGCTGTGAGCCGGACCGGCCGTGGTGAGTGCGGCAGTAACTGGGTTGAGAGCGAAGCGCCGGGCGCGGGGGCGAGACGCGAGCGGGGGCCCCGGGGCGTGGGGCAGAGAAGGGGCTGGGCCCGCGGGGCCCGAGTCTCCGGGCCGTGGCGTGGGCACCGCGAGTGCGGGGTAGGCGCGGCTGCAAGGTGGGCGGGCGGGCCTGGCCGGCGCGGCGGGAGGGCTCCGCGCGGATACCGCGGGCGCAGTGGGCGCTGTGGAGGCCCAGGCTGTCACCAACTTGTGGACTCTCGTTCACTTTGTCCCGTGGGCTTCAGCGTCCTCATCTGCAAGATGGGGCCAGTGGTATCTGATCCATTGATGGGCTGGTTGGTTCATTCATTCTGGGCGCTTTACTAGGTTCTGGTGCTGCAGATGGAGAGGCAGACTTGCCAGGGAGGGCCTCACCGCCTCTCACGTCAGGAGAGTCGAAAACAGAATTTGAGAGTTCTTTGGAGGGGGGCGGGGGACCCTAATCTTAAGACAAGATTTGTTAATTGGAACTTATAAAATTTTCACTTTTGCTGAAATTGGGGAATGAGAATTCCAGTGGTTACTTAGAAGGGAATATACATTGTTAACTAATGCATAGCTAATGCACATTGTGATAACAAATACAGAAAAATTTACAAAGTGTGTTCACAGTCCTGCCACATGTGATCCTCATGGACAAATGAGGTAATCAGAACAGGTGTGTACCCTCATTTTAGTTGTGAAGAAACAGACAGAAGTTAAATGACTTGCCCAGGCACTCACTACCAGTAAGTGACAAAGCCAGGACTAGAATCTAGTTCCAGACCGTTGAACCAGTGCTCTCGCCACTACGCTGGGTTGCCTACATAGTTCCACATTTTCTTTATAATACACAAATCATTAATTTGTGTTAAAAAGGAAGTTCCATTGGGACAGGGATGGACATTGAACAGACTTATTAATTCTTAGATTGTTCTCCAACTTATTATTGGTATTCTTTTCACTCATTCAGTACCTTGGGTGATTTTATCTGCACTCAAACTTGACCTCATTCACACCAATTGAGTTCCAACTCTATATCTTCCAAAATTCTCTTGGCTTCAGACTGCTAAATCTACACATCTACTGGACATTTCCACTCAGATGTTCCATGGGTGTGTCAAATTCACTGTTTCCTAAACAGCACACCCTACTTTTTCTCCACAAAACTGCAACCAAATCATTTCAATCTAAATGATTGGAATTTTTATTTAGCCAGTCACCCAAGCACAAACTCTGGCTTGTTCTTCCTCTCTTACCTCCTACAATTAATTGGTGACTAAGTGCCGCCAATTTCTATTTTCTAAAGGTCTCCAAGTCCATCCTCTCTCTATCTCAGTTGTTCATTCCTTTAGGTGCCTAGAGATTATGGCAATGACTTCCTAATGGCTTTCTTTAGCTTTAATTTCAGCTTCTACAAGTCCATTTTCCATTTTATAAAGGGATCTTTCTGTAGCTCAAATATGATTACATCACACACCTGCTTAAATTCCATCAAAGTTTTTTTGTTTTCAAAATAATAGCCAATGTCTTCAACAGTATCCAAAGTCCTTAGTGTGGGCAAGGTCTTTTCTAATCTCCCCATCCCTACACACCCCAAATCTTTTGTTTCTAAACCACTGTTTCTCTGAGTCTGGTATGGTGCTGACCTTTATGGCCATCATGAGAGTACTTGTTAAAAATTGTGACAATTCATTACTAGAACAAATGAGATTCTTGAGGAAGGGGACAATGCCCAAGAATCTAAGTTTTTAACAAGTTCGGGGTATTTTAACAAGTTCTATACCAAAGATTGAGAACCCCTGTTCTAGGCACTCTCCATCCAATATTTACCCTGCTCTTTATGCATACCAGACTATTTATGGGTTCAGTACATATTACCCCAAAATATGGCACTCTGGCATTGCAGGAAGTGGCAAAAGCAGGAAGGCCACTCTCTGACCTCCCAGTCTTCTCTGAAGCAGGGCATAGAGAATTCTCTGACCTTCCTCGTAAAAGACCTTCATGTGAGAGGTGCCCACTCTATACTTAGAGGAAAGGAATGCCCTTATCTCTGAAGATCCGAACACACAGAGAAGAATGAACAAACAGGGCTTGCTAAATTCTCCCCAGCTTATTACCATTAAATCATACCTCCTTTGTCCAATCATACTTCTACACAACTCCACTTGTCATCAAACTTAGCATAAATATACACAGATTTCCCTGTTTCTTTGGATTTTCACTTCTGAAGGCTTTGTATCACATAAAACTTACATTAAATACATATGTAAGCTTTTCTCTTGTTAACCTGTCTCTTGGTATAGGAGCCTCAGCCATCAACCTAGCAATGAGTGAGAAAAGAAATCCCTTCTCCCCTATACTACCTGCCTGTGTTACTCTGAACATACCTTGCTGCCTTTTATGACTTTGTACACTGTGCTTGTTTGGGCTACTCTAACTTAAATACCACGGACTGTACGGCTTAACCAGCAGAAATTCTCACAGTTCTGGAGGCTGGAAGTCTGAAATCAGTATACCAGCATGGTTGGGGGCTTGGTGATGGCCCTTATCCTGGTTAATAGATGACTGTTTCTTGCTGTATCCTCACATGGCAGAGAGAGCCCATCTCTCTATTCTAATCCTATTCATGAGGATATCACTTTCATGACTCAGTCACCTCCCAAAGGTCCCCTCTCCTAATACCATCTCATTGGGGTTTAAGACTTTAACATGTGTATATGGTCATACATTCAGACATTGCATACATAATGCCCCTTCTTTCTTTGGTGACTTCTCATTCTTCAAGCTTCAGGGAAGATTTCCCTGACTGTGTACCACCCCTCACCCCTAGTCTAGATTATGCCCATTCTTGCAGACACTCACAGAGCCTAGTGCCCCTTGACCTTAATCCTAGGTATTACAACTATAATTGTGTTGTCATTGTGAGTTTAACAGCTGTGAATACTTGAGAATGAGACTTATGCTTCTCTACCCTCGCATCCAGTGCAGAGCCTGGAATGTAGGTGTTTATGAAAGGCCTCTTGAGTGAATGAGTGGTTTATGCCAGATGGAGAAGAGTTCAAGAATTACTTGGGCCTTTACGATTCTTTATGTATCAGTCTAGACAGTGTGTGGGTTTCCCAGGAATGGGGGGGATCCCTGGCACTGGCTTCATTACTGCTTGTAGTAAGGACGTGTCTTCCCTTGAGAGGAATTTTAACTAATGGGATTTAAAGGGAGTAATAAAAGAATTAGACTTTTCAGTGGAAGCAGCTTTTTTCTTAGTCTATTTATCTTACATATAGTCGTAAAAATTTTTTGTTTACATTTTTATCTGTTTAGAAAATAATAATTCATTTAGAAACTTAGAAAATACAATGCAATTTTTTTTTTTTTTTGAGTGAGAAAGCAGGATTTATTGAGAGGACAGAAATGCTCCCACAGTGGGAGGGGACCCGAAGGAATTGCCCCTGTTGCAATTTTAAAACAAAATAAACATTAGTGACCATCCCAAACCTAAGAGGGAACTACTTTAAAATTTTGTTTTTGCCCATTTAGTATTTGTTTGATTTATATTCGTGTTGGAGCATAATTAAGATAATACCAATTATATATGACTTTTTATTCTGCTAATTTTACTTAACACTATATTTTGAGTTTTTTCCATATAAGTAAAAATGTCTAGTAAAAAGAAATTTTAATTGTCACGTAGCTTATACATTCAACAGATATTTCTTAAACAGCTATTATGTGCCAGATCTTACTTTAGTCATGGGACACAGTGATAACCAGAAAAAGGCCCTACTTTCACAGAGTTTACAATTCAGTCGAACAAGCTAATCAACAAATTAGCAAATAAATATAAGTATTACTAAATGATAAGTGCCATGAAGAATAAGGATACTCTATATTGTCTCTCTGTTTTTAGTAAAGTCTTGCTGTTTACCTTCTTTAAAGGAGTGTATGAGCATCTGCCTCATTTTATTATGTCATCAGTGAATGTGATTATTTAAAAATTTTATTAATTTTGTAGATGAATAGTGATAATTCTTTGTAATTGTTATGTCTATTCAGAAAGTTGAACATTTTTACACAGCTATGTGCATTGGCTCTTCACGGAACTTGCTGTGCTGTTTTTCCTATTGAGGGCCTGGTGCTTTCCTCTACTATTTTGAACAAGGCCTTTGCGTTACTAACATGTTGTTGGGTCCCTTGTAAGATTATCAACAAAGGTAGTGAGGCTGTAGGAGGACAGAAAAACCAGAGGAAGCCTGGAATTTTCTTCCTCTTTTTCTGCCCCTCTTTGTTCCTTCTAATACAATGAGGAAAAAGTGATCAAAGAAGAAAGAAGTGTAGTTTAGGTGGAAAGATGTGCAAAAAGAAAGGAAGAAAGGTGGATGGGCAGGTGAGAAGACGGATGTGATAAGAACGGAAGGAAGATGAGCTGAGGCTAGAGGAGAACTGGTAAGAAGGAAAAGGAGTGAGGGGATAAAAGAGTGGAGGGCAGAGAGATAAAAGAGTGGAGGGTATGCTACATGATTACTCTGGATTAATTATGCTTTTCCTTTTTCTTTTTTGTCTTTGCTAACCTAACACATTTCCAGGAGAAGATGACTGTGTTCTTTAAAACACTTCGAAATCACTGGAAGAAAACTACAGCTGGGCTCTGCCTGCTAACGTGGGGAGGCCATTGGCTCTATGGAAGACACTGGTAACTATCCTACAGCCCTACCCCACCTTCACCCCAACAACAAAATAACCCAGAAAGGCATGAGGTTAGCAGCTTGTTCAGCTGTGCTTATCTCTATAAAACATGTGGCATAAAAGAAAAATAAATGCTATTCAAATCAAAGACAAAGGCTTCTTGTTGCAACTAGAGAAGTATAGTTGGAACTATACTTGTATTCTAGTGGATTTAGATGATAGTAGTGAGATCAGAAAGGAGGCTATTTTTATTTATTTATAGAAGAAATTAAGGCCCATTCTAGAGTGAGACAAGTATCCCAAGTTAGTAGTAGACAGGGAACTCATGTCTCCCTGGAATTTTATTCTTCAGTCTTTTACCGTAACCTCTTGATTACCAACACTCTCCTAGCTGCACGCTTACTGAATCTGCTTCTGCCATCACCTCTGACTATCCTCAACTATCCCATTAGCTCACATTAATTTAAAGATAAGACTTCCAAACCTTGTGTCTGAATGAGGAATTCAAAGGAGTTATGGGTTTTATTAGACTTCAGGCATGGAGGAAGAAGAAGAAAGTGCCAGAACTCCTCTTCTGACTTAATATGGTAATAAGATCTAAAGAAACAGAAGTTTTTGTGTAAAAATTATACAAATTATTAAAGCAACCAATCAAATTGCAGTCTTTTGGGGATGAGGGCTACATCTTAAGTATGTAGCAACACTGAAATCCAGGTTTCTTAAATGACCGCTTTGTTAAACAGAACACAGAACAGTTATAGTTTGTGTCGAAAGTCCCACATTGGAAAGAGATCCATACTGGTATTTTGTGAACATTCTCACTTCGCCATCATCAGTAGTAACTTTATGATGTGGCATGGAGTCTGCTGTTTTTTGCAGCTGTGGAGAAGTTAGAACATAGACCCCTGCTCTTCTCTGTAAGTATTCTCAAGGTCAAGCACTCAAATTCCCTTGGCTAGCATCTAAAGAAGAGAGCAGACCTAAGAAGTTTGACATTTGGAATGTAAGAAGAAAAAGGGTGGAACAGATATTTTAATATGTGGAGAGGCTGGGTGTGGTGGCTCATGCCTGAGATCCCAGCACTTCAGGAGGCTGAGTAGAAAGAATCATTAGAGCCCATGAGTTTGAGACCAGACTGGGCAACATAGTGAGACCTCATCTCTAAAAAATAAAAAAAAAAAATTAGCCAGGTTTGGTGGTATGTGCCTGTAGTCCCAGTACTCAAGGGTGCTGGGGTGGGAGAATTGCCTGAGCCTGGGAGTTTGAGGCTGCAGTGAGTCGTGACTCTGCCACTGCACTCCAGTCTGTGCAACAGAGACAGACATCAATTCAAAACAAACAGACAAACAAATCAAAACAAAAAAACCCAGCCAATTGCCGTGGCTCACACCTATAATCCCAGCACTTTAGTAGGCCAAGGCAGGAAGATCACTTGAATCCAGAAGTTCAAGACCAGTGTGGGCAACATAGCGAGACTTTATCTCTATAAAGAATTAGCTGGGTGTGATGGCACTCACCTGTAATCCCAGTTGCTTGGGAGACTGAGATGGGAGGATTGCCTGAGCACAGAAGGTCAACGCTGTGGTGAGCTGTGATCATGCATGCCCCTTTACTCCACCCTGGATGACAGAGTGAGACCCTAACTCAAAAATAAAAAATAAAAAAAAGCCAAAATAAACAACAACAAAAAAATGGAGCATGCAATGTTTGATTTCTCATTTTTTTGCACTTTAGTACCCAAGGAACTGCTCCTATACCTCCTTTGCAGAAGCATTCAATCTAGGCCATGGCCAATTCAATCGGGGGAACTCCCCACCCACTGGGGATTGCTGCTGTTTCTACACCTAGGTGACGATTTAAGGAACTGTGTCCCCTGTTCAGGATGTCTTTAGAGATACCATAATAATTTCTTGCCCATGTAGTCTTGAGATTAAAAAAAAAAACAGGCCCATTAAGTCACCAGCACTTAATGGAGGCCTCATTCTAAATTGCATCTGAAACAGCTTGAACCAGGAGTGTGGTAGGACCTTGGAGGCCTCATTTTACTATTTCCACTCCTGACATTCAAGGTTATTGCCCCAAATACAAACTCCCATTGTCCTACTGCTCTTCTTTTTCTCAGACATTTTTTCCTGCATTATTTTGTACTTTTAGCTTTTTTAAAAAATTGTGGTTTAAAAACAGAAATTTTCACTTCAGTCATTTGTAAGTTTACAGTGTCATCACTCTCGTAGCTGGACACTGACTGAATCTGCTTCCTCCATTCCCTCTGATTATCCTCATCTATTACATTAGCCTACATTAATTTAAAGGGAAGTCTTCCAAATCTTTTATTTGAATAAGGAATTCAAAGGAGTTTTATTAGTCTTCAGGCCTGAAGGGAGAAGAAGAAAGTCTGAAGTTTGGAGGTGTTAAGTTTATTCATGTTGTTTTGCAACAGACCTCTAGAATTCTGTACCCATAGAACAACTGCCCATTTCCCCTGCCCTCCAGCCCGTGACAACCACTGGCCTACTCTCTTGTTTCTGTCAGTTTGACTATTTTTGATACCTCATATCGGTGGAATCACACACTATCTTTTTATGACTGCTTATTTCACTTATAATGTCTATAAGGTTTATCTTTATTGTTGCATATTGTAGGATTTCCTTTTTTAAGACTGAATAATATTCCTTTGTATGTGTACACCACATTTTCTTTAAACTTAAAGATATATTTTTTACTTTTAAAGAGGTATGGCTTTTACATCTGTCAGTGGGCATTTTGATTGCCTTTACTTCTTGGCTATTGTGAATCTGCTGTAGTTAACATGGGTGTGTGGATATCTCTTGGAGACCCTGCTTTCAGTTCTTTGGTTATGTCTGGAAATGGGATTGCAGGATCATCTGGTAGTTCTATTTTTAATTTTTTGAGGACTTTTAAAACTGTTTTCCACAGCATTATTTTTCAGTCCCACCAACAAGGCACAAGGTTTCCAGTTTCTCCATATCCTCACCAACACTGGTTATTTTCTTTGCTTTTTTTTTTCTTTATAGTAAGTCATTGTGGTTTTGATCTGCGTTTCTCTAATGATTAATGAAGTTGAGCATCTTTTCATATACTCGTTGGTCATTTAAAAATCTTTGGAGAAATGTCTGTGTAATTCCTTTCCCCATTTTTTGTCAACTTTTTTGTTGTTGTTGACTTGTAGTTCTTTATAGATTCTAGATATTTACCCCTTGTGAGATACAGTATTTGCAACATGTTTTCTCCTGTTCTGTAGGCTGCCTTTTTACACTGTTGATTTTGTCCTTTGATACACAGCAGTTTTTAAGTTTGATGAGGTCCCTTTTGTCTATTTTTGTTGCTTCTGCTTTTAGTCATATCCAGGAAATTATTGCCAACTCTAGTGTCGTGAAGCTTTTCTCTGTGTTTTCTTCTAGGAGTTTTATAGTTTTAGGTTTTATATTTAGGTCTATAACAGATTTTGAGTTAATTTTTATATATGGTATAAGGTAGAGGTTCAGCTTCTTTCTTTCGCATATGGATATCTAGTTTTCCTAACACTTTGTTGAAGAGACTGTTCTTTCCCCAGTTGTGAGGTCTTGGCATTTTTGTTGAAGATCCTGTGCATGAGGAGTTATTTCGGAGCTCTCTATTCTGTTCCATTTATTTATATATCTGTATTTATGCCAATACCACGCTGTTTTGCTTACTGTAGCTTCGTAATATGTTTTAAAATCAGCACATATGAGGTTTCCAACTTTGTTCTTTTTCAAGATTGTTTTGGCTACTTGGGGTCCCTTGAGATTCCATATGAATGTTAGGAAAACACCATTGGGATTGCATTGAATCTGTAGATTGCTTTGTAGTATGGGCATTTTACTATATGTGGTGGTGTGTGTGTGTATCTATGTACCCAGGCTGGAGTCAGTGGCATGATCATTGTTCACTGCAGCATTGAACTCCTGGGCTTAAGTCATTTTCCTGCCTCAGCCTTCTGAATAGGGACTACAGGCACATGCCACCAGGCCTAGCTAATTTTCTGATTTTCTTATAGAAGCAACTATGTTACCCAGGCTGGTCTCAAACTCCTGGACTCAAGTATTCCTCCTGCTTTGTCTCCCACAGTGCTGGGATTATAGGTGTGAGCCACCATACTGAGCCAACAATATTAAATTTCTAATCCATGAACGTGGATGTCTTCCCATTTAATTGTATCATCTTTAAATTCTTTTCAGCAATGTTTTATAGTTTTTAGTGTATAAGTCTTTAGTGTATAAGTCTTTCACACCCTTTGTTTAGTTTATTCCTAAGTATTTTATTCTTTTGATGCTATTGTTTTTTCTGCTATATTTTTATTTATTTATTTTATTTATTTATTTTAAAGATATGGGATATAGTTCAGGGTTAAGTATACAAATGTTCATTTGTATCTTGCCCCCTATATACATATCCTATTATTCTTTTGTTTGTTCCATCTTCCGTAAATAAAATGTTTCGAGCACCTTCTATGTACTGAGCCTTCAGGATGACATTAAGCAAGACAAACAGTGCCTCTGCCTTTAGAGTCTCATAAGAAACAAACAGAACAAAAAATTATAATAGCCAGGTTTGGTAGCTCACACTTGTAATCCCAGCACTTTGGGAGGCCAAGCAGTCGATGAGTTGTGCCCCTCCCTCCCCTGGCAGTTTCCCTCAATTGCCAATCCCACCCCCCTCCCCTGGCAGTTTCCCACTACTGCCAATCCCTTTCTCATAATATTCTGATAATTGTTCAAGGTCTGCTTACTAGTGAGAACATATAGTACTCTGTTCTTTGTTTCTGTGATTGATCACTGAGTATGATAGACTCTAAATCCATCCAATGATGCTGTTGTTAATGGGATTATTTTCTTAACTTTCTTTTCAGATTGTTCATTGCTATCATATAGAAATGCAGATGATTTATGTGTTTTATATCTTGCAACTCTGTTGAATTTATTTATTAGTTTAGCAGGATTTTTTGTGTACAATCTTTAGGGTTTT